GGAGCATCTAGTAGCAAGGGTTCAGGGGCTGGAGCTCTCTTGATTGGTCCAGACGGTTATCGAAGCGAACATGCTTTGAAATTTAACTTTGATGCGACAAATAATATGGCTGAGTATGAAGCTCTGATACTTGGTCTACAACTAGCATTAGAGTTGAAAATCAGTGCAATTCAAGTGTACAGTGACTCCCAGCTAGTGGTGAACCAAATCAACTCTATTTGTGAAGTCGTTGATCCTGTAATGATGAAGTATGTCGCCTTGGTGGCCGAGCTGAAGTGCAAATTCCAAAAATTCTGTCTGAGTAAAATCCCCCGAGCTGAGAACGAACAGGCAGATTCACTCTCTAAGTTTGCCTCTGATAGCTCTCTAAGCTCCAGATCCGTCTTTGTAGAGGTCTTAAATGAACCCAGCTTCACGAAACCTCGGGTGATGGAAATTAGCACAAACCCTGACACGCCGAGCTGGACTGATTCAATTGTCTCCTTCTTACGAGATGGGATAGTGCCTGAGGACAGGCAGGAGGCAATGAAATTGAGGAAGAAAGCATCTCGGTATACACTTGTTGATGGAGTCCTGTATAAGAGATCTTTCTCACTTCCTCTTCTACGGTGTTTAAACCCTTATGAAGCTGAATACGCAATTCGAGAGGTGCATGAGGGTGTCTGTGGGAGCCATGTTGGTGCTAGGACTCTCGCTCACAAAGTCTTAAGGCAGGGATACTACTGGCCAAACATGTACAGAGATGCCACCTACTTTGTTCAGAAATGCCCGAAATGTCAATTCTTCGCACACTTGACTCACCAGCCAGCAGAAGAGCTCACGAACTTGGTAGCACCGTGGCCATTTGCTCAGTGGGGACTGGATCTTTTAGGCCCATTTGTGAAAGGGGTCGGTGGTGTAACTCATCTGATAGTTGGTGTGGATTATTTCACAAAGTGGGTTGAAGCTCGGCCTTTATCTAGTCTCACCTCTAAGAAGGTCGAAGATTTTGTTTTCAGTTCGATCATCTGCAGATATGGGATCCCAAATCAGATCGTGGCCGATAATGGAACTCAATTCAATTGCTTCTCATTTCGAGATTTCTGCTCCAGTTATGGGATCAAGTTACAGTTCACCTCCGTTTACCATCCGGAGTCCAATGGCATGGTGGAATCTGTTAACAAATGCATTTTGGAAGGTATAAGGCCGAGATTGGAGTAGCATAAGGCCAAGTGAGCAGACGAGCTCAACAACGTCCTCTGGGCATACAGAACCACGAGCCGAACTGCCACAGGTACTACTTTAATCCGAGTTCATTTGATTAATTTCTGTAGTATTTAACTTCTTCTGTTACGCCTTACCTTAGAACAAATATGCATAACGCATAAAGCGCATTCTAAAGTTCTAATCAATTGAAATAGGTGAAACACCTTACCACCTGGCCTTTGGTACCGAAGCAGTCATTCCTGTTGAGATAGGAGTCCCAAGCTTCCGAGTCACCCATTTCGATGAAGAACGAAATGGACAACTGCTTCGGGAAAACCTTGATTTGCTTGCTGAAGTCAGAGAAGAAGCTCGGCTTTAAACTCTTGCATACAAGCAGAAGCTAACCAACTTCTACAATAAACGGGTCCGCCCTCGAACATTCAAAGTAAGAGACCTTGTTCTCAGAAAAGCTGGCCTAACGGGGTTTGAAACTCGTTTTGGCAAACTCGCCCCGAATTGGGAAGGCCCTTATGCCGTGGCCGAGGTGCCACATCCTGGTGCCTATATCCTCCAAGACGCTGAAGGAAAGAGAGTTCCTAGAGTCTGGAATGTCAATAACTTGAAGAAATTTTACCCTTAATGAAATTCTTTCAAGTGTTCTAGGTCTTACTGTTTTTTACGCTTTTCACTTAGTGTTTGTTGCAAATCATTTTACCTCTCATTCTATGTATCTGAGGTCAATCAGTTCATTCACTTCTGTTAATAAATGTCACTTCACGTTTGAAGTGCTTTATCTCCTTTTATTTCATTTGCAATGATGTACTTGTTCCTAATTTATATGAAGTGGCTTACTTCTTCTTAATTTGTCTGAAGTGAATTACTTCTTTTTACTTCTTCTTAATTCGTCTGAAGTGAATTACTTCTTTTTACTTCTTCTTAATTCGTCTGAAGTGAATTACTTCTTTTTACTTCTTCTTAATTCGTTTGAAGTGAATTACTTCTTCTTATTTCCTCTTAATTCGTCTGAAGTGAATTACTTCTTAATTCTTCTCAAGCACAGTCTCAAGTACCCACAGTTCTTTTATTCATAAACAATAATACCAGAAATGTAAAACAAACATAAACATATATATAATCTCAAAGCTGAATCTTCATTTCAAATATTAACAGTATTACAAACTGTTTAATTATCTTTACAAAAAATCAAAAAACAAAAATTATTCTTCTGGAAGAGGTGGTTCCACTGGCTCCTTCTCAGCTGGCAGAGGTGGTTGTATAGGCTGCTGCTCGTCTGGCAGAGGAGGCTCCTCATCGTCAGAAGGAACTGGGTGAATCTCCACTTCTGGAATTGGTTGACTATCACCCACTCCAGTTCCTTCCACTCCTGCCTCCACTCCATCTCCCTCTACCTCTGCTCCATCTTCCTCCACTGCAACGAACTCGAAGTCGAACTGTGGAGGGAAAACAGCAAGACCGTCTGCATCATCCTCCCACCTCAGTTTGATCTGAGGACAGAAGTCTGTTGACATGCTCTCACCATCTTCCTCCACTCCTTCTTCTTGCTCGCCAAAGGTGACCTTTGTCACATCCACTTCGGGATATGCAGCCTTCACCTTCTTTCTGCAGTCTGTGAAGGCGATGATAGCAGTGGGCAGCCGGTACAGGTTGACGATGCTGTCAAACGAGCTGGAACTGATGAAGTTGTTGATGTGCTCCTTCATCCCATTATGCACCAACTTCTGCATGTTCCCCTTCAGCTCCTTGAACGCCTCCGTCACCAGCTTCGTTTCTTTTGCCTGAGCCTCACGCTCGCCTTTAGTGATCCTTCGCTTGCTCTCCTAAAAAACGAGCTTGGTGCTCAGGGAAGATCTCTCCTGTTCCAACTGCAAAAGCAGTTGGAACCACCTCGTCCAGAGGCTCTTGCAGTTCTTTATTTTTCTTCTCCAGCTCCTCCTTCTCCTTCTGCAGCTGGTCACACTGCCTCTGCAAGAGTGAGCGCTCCTTTATACTATCTCTGAACTCCTGGGCTAGACCATTCACCTAGCTCGCGCTCTGCAAATCGAAACAAAAATTCAAAAAGAAAGAACAGAAGAAGAAACAGAATATATAAATAGCAACACTGATTACACATACCTCCAGAACATGCTTCACCACAGATGCTCCTCCGTACCTCAGAGCTTCCTCCCGTGCGTTGCATTTGTCCACCTCGGGGAAGGTGCTGTTGATGAACCACCTCGCCCCCATTACGTTCTTCGCCTCGAACAGGCTGCTCTGAGGCACTGCAGGAGAAACTGGGCCTTTCCCCTTCCCAGGAGCTCGTACCTCAGCCCCCTCCTCCAACCGTCTGAGCTCAGGGTTCAGCTCAACAGGAGGAGGCTGAGGTACAAACTCAGGCACCCCACTCCCCTCTTCCTCCACCACCTTCTGCTTCTTCTGCAGCGCCCTCCTCTCCTCCCAACCCTTCCTCTTCAGTGCTGGCACCTCCTTCTCCGTCTCAGCTGAGGCCAAAGGTACCACCTCCTTCCCAGTCCTCCCCTCATCCACTTGTTTGGCTGAAGTCTTTGACTTCTTCCTTGGCTTCTTGGGGATGGCCTTCCCTCCAGCAGTGTTCAAAAACTGGTCCATTTGAGCTGCAAAGCAAAAAACACAACATTAGTCACAGTTTTATATTCTACATTTAACACTACAATGCATGCTAAACAAACCTTCACTTAGAGCGCTTGGCCCATAGAGCGCTTGACCCATAGAGCTCAGCAGCTTCTATACACGCTGCGCTGGTGAGGTCCATAATATTCAATTCTTCCCCCCTCTTCCTCACCAACCTCCCCACTTCTTCCTCCTCATCCTCATTCAAGCTAAACTTATTCTGGTTGGCCCTTTTGGCCTTCTAGGAAGCTAACGCCCTCACCTCGGTATCCCCCTTTCCCCACTCCGTATCATCTACAAAAAAGAATTTTTCCTTCCATCCCTTAATGGATGAAGGACCCGAAGTGAATAAAATCCTACCCTCCTTATTAGCTACCCTCGGGGTGAAATAATACCACCCCTTATCTCTCCTGCTACCCCCCTTTAAAACAAAAAAATACTTAAACATATTTACAGTTGGCACTCTAATCCCCTGAGCTCGGCAATAAACTAAAAAACCTATTATTACCCTCATTGCGTTGGGGACCAACTGTGTCAACCCTATGTTATAATCTAACAGTAAACCTATTAGCAACTCCGGAAGTGGAAACCTGAGTCCCGCTATCAAATAGTGGGCATACACAGGCATCCAGTGATCCCGAGGAGCAGAGCACGCCCTCTCCTCTACCCCAGCTGGCCTAACTAATACTCGAGAAGAGATCTCGTACGTTTCTACTAAGTGACACAGGTCATCCCTGGTCCTTAGTTCAGATCGGTACTGCTTCACTTCCTCCACTATGTCTGCATTCCTATCATTCCCTCTCTCCCCATTACCTTCTACTTCTACCACGGTAATGGGTATGTTATCTCCCCCAACCCCCACTACCTCATCCTCCCTAACTTCTACCACCTCATCCCCTCTCACCCCTTCAACCGTCTTCTCTGAACTAGATGGAGACGGACTACTCTCTGAGTCCATACCCCCATAGTCCAGAGGCATCACCTCACTCCCTACAACACTTCCTGTCCTTTCTGAAGACATTTTCTCAAACTCTGCACGAAGTAGGGGGGAGGAATGAAGTCAGGACTTATAAAAAAAAAAAAAAAAAACCCCTTCATTACATATTCAAAACCCTTCTCATCTCTAACCCTAACGTCCTTCAGAGGACTCTAAATCAATCACAGAAAGGGAGAAAGGAGAAAGACACTTCGATTAACTTAAAATCAGAGTTTCGTATACAGTACCTGATTTCGGTTTCGAAAGATTTGATGTAGAGATCCCCAGTTGTTACCGTAGTTCACGAACAAAAAATGCACAATGAAGCTTCTCGCAGAAGTTTTGTAGGAAAAGAAATGCAGGTAAACCTTTTTCTGCAGAAAAAATGCCTATTTATACTTCTGGGCAAAATTAGATCTCAATGGCTGAGATTCATTTAATCTCACGGCCCCTGTTGCCACCGTTTGGAATTCAACGGACAACCCCAAACGGTACCGTTTTGAACTTGACGGTTCGTTTTTAAATTTGCCCGTTTAACTGTTGCAATTATCTTTTTACGGCTGCATTTATTGCACACGTCATTTCACGGACAACTGTCACACCACGTTGTCAGATTTTCCAGCGGATCCACTCACGCCCATTTCAACACCTTTGTTTACTTTTCTCAATTTTGTCAAGTGTTTCACTTCGGCTCCAGCCATATTAATGTTGCATCACATTTCACATTGACTTCGCCCACAGTGATCCTGTATCACACATTTTATTTCGGCTCCGGTCATTATATTTTATTATGGCTCCGGCCATTATGACCCCGGCCATTATGACCCTGGTCATTATATTTTATTATGGCTCCGGCCATTTTGACTCTCATTTTTATATTTAAGCCTAGCTCAGCACTTCTGTTTACTTATACAATTATACTTATACGATTATACTTTTAAACTGGCATTATATTTTACTTCGGCTCCAGCCACAAAGACATATTTTACTTCGATCATGGTTAATGTGACCACATATCACATACTCTACCTCGGCTCTGGCCATTATGACTCCGGTCATCATATTTTATTACGGCTCCGGCCAT